AAAAAACGAAGCACACTGTTGGACATATCGATTAGAATAAGTGTATGTCATTGCTACATAAATATTCTAATAATAATAAGGTAGAATCTGAATTTTTTTCTAGATAATTTTACAAGTAAATTAATAGAGCGAAATCAAATACGTGAAAAAGTATTCGCTCATCTCATTTCAATGACTGAACAACTGAAATACTTTCAAGTTGAACGATTCGAATGGCTTTTACATATTGTTCAATACGTAAGACATTCTTTTATTTATGAATTAAGTATATATCCGTACATATATCCTTGTTAAACATAATTCATTTAAATATGTTCGATCGAATGAATTGAATGGTGAAATTTTTATTTTAATAATGAGTAAGCACTTTAGAGGTATTAAAAAAAGATGGTTTTCATTAGCACTTGTCGTTATGTATTTATCGTGATCAAAGATTATTGGCGACATAAAGAGATCAACTGTTTTTTTACTCGTACTACTTTAAAGCATTTACATTGATTTACCAAAAAACTCTAATTGAACAGTATAATCTATTATTGTTTTTTTTTTGTTGTTTTCTATTTAGATACCGGACGAACTAAGAATGAACGCATTAAGTACTGTTCGATATGCTGAATTTGGTCTTCCGAGTTGTCATAAGGGTAGAGGCGACGTAGCTCATATTGGTAAATATCTTGTGTCTTTTCTTAACACATATATGCCTCATTTACAAACATTACGTCTTTGGCGACCAGACGATTTTCCTTGGACAACTAGTAAGTTTATTTTAAACAAACAAAATTAGTCAAAACAAAATCTTTTACTAATCTACAATAAATATAGTTCTGCTTTTTTTTTGCTTTCTTGATTAGAAATCATATTTTGTTATTTGTTACTCAAAAAGTTGCTTTTACAACGATGCATAGTTCACCTTGATTGAAAACTTTTCTTTTTTTTTATATCGGTTTCATTCACGTCCTATTTTCTCTCACTGAACAAGTTTTTGTAACTATGTGACATTAACTCAATAGTTGAGAATTAATATGGAACATTTGTAAACGTTAATTTTATCTTCGAATTCTCTAAATCATAGACATCATAGTTTTAGAGAGAATTAATTTCTTCAGTATGTGACTAATTTTGATGACAGATATTCTATATTATTCGTCATCATAGATCAATTACAGAAATATCGAACAACCAGTTATATTGAATAGAGTCACAAAGGTTTGAATTAGAAAATTTTCTATAGAAATATTTCTCTAATTTGTTTCTTTAAGCTTGCCTCTTTAAAATAGAAATCCCATTTAGAAAGATCCGTTTCGATTAGAGTCCGTCGGGTCCAAGAATTTCTGGACCCGAACCCGATCTATTCAATTTTTTAATCGTTATAAATTCGAATTCGAATTCTTCTATTAGAGTTTTCAATTATTGACTCTCATCACAAGCTAATAAGTGATGTATATCTTACTCTGTTCGAGCTTTGTTATTTCTTTCGATTCAGACTTATTAGTAAAAAAGTTTCAGACCCGGACCCGAACCGGATTATTAGAAAATTTTAGACACGGACCCGGACCCGACGATCTCTAGTTTCAACTGAAAATTTCACAGATAGATAGTCCTAACGAGGAGCTCTTTTGGTGAAAATTTTGGCACGATACTAACAGAATGACTTGAAATTAAAGGCAACGCTTGTGCACATCTTTTGTCTGAACAGAATATTGATATTCGCTTCCGTTGATTTTTATAACTATTTTAGTGAGCTTGAAATTAAATTAAACCGAAAAAAGTCTACCACACGACACTACTGTAGAACTCACTTTTCTCATCCCAAAAATCAAGTATAAAAAATCTGTTCGGACAAAAGTTTATTTTTATTTAAGATTTTAAAAACGAAAAAAAAGACATCGGTTACATTTGAAATTCTGAGGAAGATGTTTCAGTTTTTGCAGTTGAAAATTATGTTTTGAGAAAAACGGTAAATAAGTTTCGAAAAATTTTCTTAAATTGAAAATGTTTACATTTCTGTAAAATACACATGACTTATATATTTGATGTTGATAATCAATTATATATATAAAGTCGGCTACTGCACTTCATGCAGTCAGCTGCTTTAAAGACAAATCGTGATGAACCACAATAAAGATGGTCACTCATTAAAAATACTTATTTATTTCTTTAATAGTATTTGTAATTGTTGTGTGTTGTCATAAGAAAAAACTAAAAAGAAAATTAAGGGAAGTTTTATTTTAAAACATCAATCAAATTCATATTATTTTCAGAATTTATTGATCACAAAGTAGTGATCAAGAGAAAACTTTAACAATAAAGGTTTCTCTCATATCAATATATCTTTTTTCTTTCACCGAATTGAGCAAACAAAAAAAATGAACCACGAAAGAACAATTTCTTTTCTCAAAAATTTACTTTCAATATGTTTGAGAAAGTTCAATGTTCATTCGACTTTTCTGAAACATGATCTTTAAAGGAGTCTGAATTTCCACTTTTATAGTATACGCAACTCCATCGTATTTCACATTTTAATCCTACAGGAATTGCGCGACACAGCTTTTTATTAAAGAACTAAACCAGTTACAAAAGGTGTTCAATCGAAAAAACCTATGAAAGAATTATCTTTAAAAAGAAACGTAGATTAAGAAAAATCTCTCAAAATGTTCTGTTCCGTTTAATAAACAAAGAGAAAACTATAATTAATTCGAACTTTCATATATTTTAGGAATTCATATTGTTTCATTATCTTGTTTTCTTTATTTAAGTTCGACCAGATTATAAAAAAGGATATTACGATGATGTTTCAATTCTACAATGGCTGAAGTCTCTAAAAACACCCGAATCGATTGGTATGTACATACAAATACAACGATTAAATACGAAAAGCTAAATTAATCATATAATTCTTTGTTTTAGCTA